CCTCCCTATCCCTGTAACCTCCTCCAGTCCCTACACCCCTCCCTATCTCTGTCACCTCCTCTAGTCCCTACACCCCTCCCTATCTCTGTCACCACTCTCCAATTCTGGCATTTTGAGCTCCATCAGGTTCTATTTCTCCAACATTGTCTATCGTGCCTCCAGCCACCTAGCTTCTAAGCTGTGGAATTCTGACTTGTCCTCGCTCTCTATCCTGCACACTCACTCTCTTTCTCTCTCTATCCCTGTCACACACACATCCTCTCTCTTTCTATCTATCTCTCCCTCTTTCTCTCACACACTCTATCCCTCTCCCTTGTTGACACAATTCTTCAGTCAGACCTCTTTTAGATGGTTTATGTTCTGCCTTTTTGAGCTCAGTGTTTAATTGTTTCTGATAATGCTGCAGCAATGTACATTGAGATGTTTTCCCATGTTAAAGGCACTGTACGAATGCAGGATTTTGTTGTGTGAACGAGACTCTCTTTTTGTGCAGAAACAGTTTGAGACGGATATCCGGAGCTGCTGTCTCCTGGAGATCAGACAGACCGAGGAGAAATACACAGCAACGCTTGAGTCGATTGAGAAGGTATTTCCTGGGAATGCCACAGCAATGCTTCCCCCTGTAGCTGCTACCCCAGTGCTTTCCACCAACATGGTTATTACAGGCAAACAGAATCTTAAAATAAATCACCAATTAAAAGCTCAGTACGATACTCTTCAGAGGGTTGGTGTGGACTTGATGGGCCAAATGGCCTGCTTCCACATTGCAGGGATTCTATGATTTCTCTCTCCCCAGATGCTGCCCAACCTGCTGAGTTTCTCCAGCTCTCTCTGCTCACAGTCTCTTTGGGTTCCTGTCGGTGAGATGTTATTTCTGACGGTCACTGGATGTTGGGTAATTTTCAGATTAGATTTCAGATTCAACTGAGAAACAGTTCAGAATCCTGAAATCTGAAATGTTATCAGATCAGCTCCAAGGTCTGACTCTTCCAGACTAAGAGAGACAGGATTGTTTATCCTTACAAACCTCTCCAACAGGTGCCCACAGCATCCAGCTGTGTACTGAAGCCACACCCTTAACCCCAGTCCAGAGGCTGTTGCTAGACGACAGCAACCTAGAACCATGAGGGATTTTCTAGGTGTGTTTGCTCATCAAACAAAGGAATAAAATGCTGCTCTATCTCTCTCTCTCTATCTCGATAAGGCGGCTGGATAGAGCTTTTCAAAGTCACTCGTTTTGTTTTTAGAAACAGACTGTGACTTTTTTTAACCTTCAGACTTTCCAGCTCTGAGCATTCACATGATCAATCCTTTGTAATCCAGTCAGGTCCAAACTTTCCAGATTCCTGTTTTCACAATCTGGAAATAGATCTGATCCCAACCCAGTGCTGGCTTCAACCTCACTCCGGGAGCACTGAAGGATTCGAGGAGATTAAACCCCAGCACTAAATCCAAACTGTTCACTTTATCTTTCAGCATTTCATCTGCCCATTGAGGCGGGTTTTAACGGCTGGAGAGATGGCGGTCATTTTTATTAATATTGAGGTAAGTGAGAGTGAGGCGAGGAGAGGTGGGAGGGAGAGGGAGGAGAGAGGGAGAGTCAGGGATGGTAGGGAGGGAGAGGAGAAGGGGAGGGAGGGAGGGAGAGGGGAGGATGTAAGAGGGAGAGGAGAGAGTGGGAGGAGGGAGTGTGGAGGGAGGGCAATGTGACTGGCCCATGCTGGTGGGATGAGAGAGAGACAGGGTGTGTGTGACAGACAGACATTGTCTGTAAACAAAGGGTGGCGTGGTGGTTCAGTGGTTAGCACTGCTACCTCACAGCACCAGGGACCTGGGTTCAATTCCAGGTGACTGTCTGTGTGGAGTTTGCACATTCTCCCCGTGTCTGCGTGGCTTTCCTCCGGGTGCTCTGGTTTCCTCCCACAGTCCAAAGATATGCAGGTTAGGGTGGATTGGCCATGCTAAATTGTCCATAGTGTTCAGGGATGTGTGGATTAAGTGGGTTATGTGGGGTAGGTCTGGATGGGATGCTCTGAGGGTCAGTGAGGACTTGATGGGCTGAAGGGCCTATTTCCACACTGTAGGGATTCAATGATGATGAGTATATCAATGGTATGATATGATCAGAAACGATGCCAAGGACAACACTTTATTTTTGTCTTCTTCATCGAATGGTATCATTGGAAGTTTTATGTTCATCTGACGAATATGTAGAAAGTATGTGATTGTTTATACAGCAACATATAGGAAGTGTACAGAAAGTATATTATTGATTACATAGCAATGGACAGACAGTATACAGAAAGTATATGATTAAATATACAGCAATGTATAAAGAGGTTACAGAAAGTATATGATTTGAACATACAGAAACATATATAAAGTGTACAGAAAGTATATGATTGAATTTATCACTGAGGTTCCTGATTGCTGCCCAATCTCTTCCCAATCATGACCCAGGCTTTAGTTAAAGTTCACAGAGACTTGAACGAAGATCTGAAAAACGTCATCATGTCAAAGAATGATCAGAATCTTTATCAAATCTTCATCAACTACAAGGAAAGGTAACTGAGTTCTCTATGTCCATCTGCTCCAATGAGTTTGTTTACATCTTGTTCTAACCCAGCTCCATGTTGATTAATGATGATAGATTTGTGAGCTCCTCCTTGTATTGTCCAGTCTCTAATTCCAGCTGTAGATTCACCCCCATCCGACTCTTCGGCCCAGGTTTTTCTGGAGCCAGGGTGACTGTGGGAATGGTACGTGTGACTTGGTTCCCAGATTCCTGATCCCATTTCTGGGCTTTGTAAATTTTGCGAGGTGAGGATTTTCCGGGGTGTGGGAGGACATTCATGGAGCTGGGTGAGGTCAGAGCTGTTCTCAATCTGCAGGAATGAACCTCCTGAACGATGAAGTTGAAAAGATTGTCCTCATGCCTCTTGTGCTGGAGTATGACTCCTACACACTCGCTGTGTCCCCCAGAGTAGGCTATGGTCCTTCCCACTAAACACTGTACAAGAGGTCCCCAATTTACCAGTGTTCGACTTACAAACACTATACTTATGAGCACGAGCTCTTTAAGGGGTATAAATTTACAGACCTGACCTATGAAAATTTTCTGTCCTAATGAATAGTTCCTTTACATTGTCCTGCATTGTGTTCCAACTTGCAAACAAATCATCTTGCATTCAGACTCCAGAATGAAACTGGTTTAAAAAACAACCATTTCTTCATTTCTTTCCCCTTGTTTAAAAAAACCTAATTTTATTACAAGCCAATAAATATCTTAATCATGCAGACCTTTGAAGTTTCAATAGCAGAAACTGCAAGCACTTGATATCACTATAAGTAAACAATGTGGAATCGACAACAGTAATGAAAGAACCAGAACTATCATCAATAGTGTTTACTGTGGGGCTCAGCTGATGTGCCTGATGTCGGGGGAGGCAATGGCCTAGTGATATTATCACCGGACTGTTAATCCAAAGACCCAAATAATGTTCTGGGGACTTATGTTCAAATCCTGCCACGGCAGATGGTGGAATTTGAATTCAATAAAAATGATCTGGAATTAAGAATCTAATGATGGCCATGAATCCATTGTCAATTGTTGGGGGAAAAACCCATCTTGTTCACTCATGTCCTTTAGGGAAGGAAACTGCCATCCTTACCTGGTCTGGCCTACATGTGACTCCAGACCCACAGCAATGTGGTTGACTCTTAACTGCCCTCTGGGCAATTAGGGATGGGCAATAAATGCTGCCTGGTCAGTGACACCCTCATCCCGTGACTGAATAAAGGGAAAAAAACAGATCCATCTGAGCCGACAGTTTCAATATCTAAAAGCCATATTGGGTAGCTGGCATTTTCCTGACAACTTCAAATAATGTCCAGATGTGTATGAAGCTGGGTACGAAATGGAAACTTTCACTTTATCTCTCTCTTTCTCTCTCGCCCTCTCTCTCTCACACACACGCACTCTCTGTCTCTCATTCACTTTCTCCTACCCTCTCTAATTCTCTGTCATACTGTCTCATACTTTGACTCTTTCATACACTCATTGTCTGTGTCTCTCTCTGACTCTCTTTCTCTGTCTCTGACTCCCTCTAACTCTGCCTCTTTCTCTCTGACGCTCTCTAACTCTGTCTCTCTCTCTCTCTGATTCTCTCTGATGCTCTCTAACTCTGTTTCTCTCTCTGACGCTCTCTAACTCTGACTCTCTCTGACTCTCCCTAACTCTGTTTCTATCTTTCTCTGACTCTTTCTGACTCTCTCTCTGTCTGATTCTGACTCTCTCTCATACACACTCTCTCTCTCACACATCCCATTCTTTCTCACTCTTACTCTCGTATTTTTATTCTTATCCTTGACTCTCTCTCTCACTCATACATATACACTTTCACTTTCTCTAACTCATTCTCTTCCATCCTTTCTCACTCTCTGTCTCTCTTTCACACACCCTACTTGCTCTCTATCTGACCCTCCCTCTCTCTCACACACACCCTCACACTCTCTCTCTCTTTCTCTCTCACCCTTGCTCTCTTATACATCCTCTATCTCTCCATCACACTTCCCATCCCCTCCCTCTCCCTCTCTCTGTCTCTCTCCCCACCCCGTCTCTCTGTCTCCCTCCCTCCCCCTCTCTCGCTCCCCCACCCTCTCTTTCTCTCCCCCCCACCCCCCCTCTCTCTCTCCCTCTCTCTCCCCCTCCCCCCAATCTGTCTCTCTCTCCCTCCCTCCCCATTTCTCTAGGTTACTGCTCTATGGTGACTATTGCAGTCAGGTGGAGAATGCTATCAAGTGTTTGGATGAGATCAGTAAATCTAGACAAGATTTGCGTTTGAAGTTGGAGGTAATTAACTTTCACTCCTGTTTATTAGTTTAAAGTTATTGCAGTTTTGGGGTAAAGGTTTGCTGTGATATGAATTTATTAATATTCCAGACTGTTAACCATCTTAACTCTCTCAGTGCATGAATAAACAATTCCTATGTTTCTGCCTCACAATATCCCACAGTTCAAGCACTTACTGCCCTGGCAGGGGTGGGGTGGGGGGAGGGGGGCGGTGGTGGTGGGCACAGGGCCCAGGGTTTGGCATCTTCCTATTCCATGGTGCCGGTCTCAGGAATGGCACTGCCTGGGAATCTCCGCTCCGTCTGTCAGGGCCCAGGCTCCTGCAATGACCTAGGAATTGATGATTTTCCAGTCTCTGTATGTCCTTCCTGTCTCAGGAATCTCCAAGCTGACGGTGAAATCTCTGGCTAGAAGAGTGAGTTCCGCTGCCTATAAATGACATCTGATAGTGATCAATTTCCTCTCAAGAGCTCCAATCGAAGTTGCCTCCGCACACCCCTCTCCCCTCATCAAGCAGTGAATGCTGAAACTAAACCACTTGCTAGGTTCACCATCCCTCTCTGTCACTCCATCAGAACTCTCAGACATGATGTACACCTAATGCTAGTTTCCCTTAATCCACCTTTGTTCAGGCAGTTAGTAATTTTGCCCTGGATGATCATTTCTAGATGTTTTGCAGAACAACAGAATTGGTCCTATACAGAAGGTGGTCATTTGGTCCATTTTATCTGCACGAGCTCTCTGGGCATTTTGACTTAGCTTCAGTCTTCCTGCCTTTCCTTGCCACTGATGTTAAATTGATTGGTCTGTAATGGTGAGGCCTATCCTGACACTTTTTTTTAACAAAAGTATCATGGTTGCAATTCCTCCGTCTGTCACTCTCCCTATGACAAATAAAACTGAAAAATGTCCCCTCTCATTTCCCTCAGTTTTCTCAGATACATTGCATCTGCTCCTGGTGCCTTGCCCACTTTAGGTGCAACCTGTCCATCTAATACCTGCCCCATTTCAATATTACCCTTCCAGTATCTCAGCAAATTGCCCTGTCACTGTGCCTTTAACACCATTTCCGTTTCTGAGAAAGACTAATGCAGAGTGTTTGTTCCGTCCTTCAGTTTTCCCCCTGTCTCCATGTGATCCCTGACTGACCTCTTACCTTCTCTTGCTTCTCTTATAATGTGTTTATTTCCTTGGACAATCTTATATCTTAGCTGCCAGCCTCTTCATATTCTCTCTCCTTTGCTGTTTATCTCTTTAGCCTTCTCTCCCTGTGGTTTATCACCTGAGGTTTACCAAAATTGTCCCTTCTCCTGTTTCAGTCAGCTCTGGGCTAGATTTCTCTGCTTTAGCTTCTCATAGAAACACACTGAGATCTCTGTAGTCCCCTAAATACCCTCTGCCCTGGCCCCTGGCAGAACATGAGGATAATAAATCACCTTCATCTATTCCCCACCCTAGGGATTTCTCTAATTCCAGCCTCTTACACACCTCTGTAATTTCAATCTCCCCAACATTAGTGTCCATGCCTTCAGCTGCCTGGGCACCTGGATCTGGAATTCCCTCCCTAATCCTCACCCTTCACAATGTTCCTTAGACCCTGCCGTTTGTCATTTGCCCGTAATGCCTCATGAGGAGTCTCCAAACTGAATACAGCCGTGAAGCTCATCGAGATGTTTTACTGCATTCAAGGCACTATAACAATTCTTCTTCTTCTTCTTTAGGAGTGCGCGAACAGAGCAAACAATGGGAAGTTCACGTTGAGAGATCTCCTGGTTGTGCCGATGCAGAGGGTTCTCAAGTACCACCTCCTCCTTCAGGTGACCTTTTCCCCTCCATTTCCTGAATCTCACCATTGTTTTCAGGGCTTTCCTGCTGGTAATAAACAGCAGATTCTTCTTGATGCAGCGATGGTCAAAGATGTTCTCTTACTGGAGTTCTGTTGTACAAACTAGAATGATTCCAGTCACCGTGGGTCAATCTCCATTTGGCTACATGCAGTCTGTATGTAAACTGTCAAGAGGATCAGTTGGTATTATATTAGTTTCAGAGATAGTAGGAACTGCAGTTGCTGGAGAATCTGAGATAACAAGGTGTAGAGCTGGATGAACACAGCAGGTCAAGCAGCATCAGAGGAGCAGGAAGGCTGACGCTTCGGGCCTAGACCCTTCTTCAGAAATGCATTTCTGAAGAAGGGTCTAGGCCCGAAACGTCAGTTTTCCTGCTGCTCTGATGCTGCTTGGCCTGCTGTGTTCATCCAGCTCTACACCTTGTTATCACTATTATATTAGTTGTTGTCTTTCAACATTATAGTCAGTTTATTTCAGAAAAGTATGTCCATTTGCAACATTAGAACTGGTTCTGCTATTGGATAGCATTTACTGAATAACCCGGGCTGCACTAAGATACACCTGAAACCAATTTAAGCTCTTCACTCAGGCTCACAACGTGGTGCATTTGCATGTTCTAGCAGTTACGTATGTGCATACGCTGGGTTTGAAATAGGCTAAAGGAGCAGGAGCAGGAAAGGGTCTCAAATAAAAGCAAAAAGCTGCATATGGTGGAAATCTGAAACAAACACGGAAATTGCTGGAAGTGCTCAGCAGGTTGGGCAGCATCTGCAGCGAGAGAAACAATAAACTGTTTCAAGTACAGGACGACTTCTTCTGAACTCCTTTACCAAGACTGATTTCTTGCTCCTTATCCTGGTGAAGTACCAGATAAGAAGCTTAAAGTTCATGTTTCCTTTTGCCAATGTTTATGAGAAGTATCTCTCAGGCTGTGAAACATGACGCAATGTCCTGAGGTCATGATAGGCTAAAGAAAGTGTTTCTTTTTCAGAATTGATTTAAAGATTCCAGTCCATGGAATCTGATTGATAGGTTTGCTGTTTGTCCCACACAGTTATATTACAGAAGGAGGCCATTCATCCCATTGAATCTTTGCAGTCAGCCCCAATACAATCACTTTGTCAATAGTCATTCAGTCACTCCTTGTGAAAATCAAAAGTAATTTCAGACTAAAGATGCGCAGGCAAGGGTGGAATAGCTATGGGAAATGCAGGGTTGCAGGGATAGGGGACAAGGTTGGGTCTGGGTGGAATAGCTATGGGAAATGCAGGGTTACAGGGA